AGTAAAAGTGATATTTTGAATATTTGTTTTTTTGACATAATTTTTAATTAGTAAAGTTTTCTTTTTACTTATTTTGAAAGAAAACAGTTTTTAATAACTTTTTCTATATTAGACATACTTAATAACTTCAATTTCTTATCAAACATAATAATGTTGATAACTCAATAAAATTTTAATAAAATTTTATTATAAAACTTAATAACTTTATATACAGTATATTTTAATTTTTTATACAATATTTTTCTAATCATTTTTTTAGTAAAAACTTTCTTGGTAAAGTGACTTTCCAACTAAACAGGCCCATGAAATTGTAATTTTGATTTTTTTAATCAAAAAATTGAATATTAAATCTTAAGAGGTTCGATCTCAATCACATCACAAATGAGACTCAATTGGGATCTAAATTATATCTTGCCTATTTCATAATTATGATTAGATGCCCTATAATTTGATTTTTTATATTTTGTTATTGCAAAAATTATGTAAATGTTTAGTAATTATTTTATTAAAAGGAGAATGTTGTAGTTTGTTTAGTGCAAATTGCACTTGTTTACACCCATTTTTGCAAATCAATTAGAAGGAGCTATGTGTCTCATTTGTTTTGAATTTGAAGGAGTCAAAATTTGTTATCAGTAACTGCCATGTAGTGATTTCATTAACTGAATCAAGCTCAATGATTGATTTTTCTCTGGAATCAATGTGAATGTTTGTTGCCACATCATCAACAAAGAAATTCAGTGGTTGCATACTTCCAAGACCATGATCAGCAATAACAACAAGTTAGTCAGTTTGTTGTAGATTTTACGTTGCTGTTGGTTTTCAAGATGCTACGAGCAAAACTCTACCATGTTACCAAGGTGCTATAAATTCCTAATGATGAGATTAAGCAAGTGAGACTTGCCTCTCACACAACAAGTCTAGTGCTATTTGCATTTCAGTTTTCACAAGCAATGTCTTAATTTAGCTTTACATTTTCTCAAATAGCCTTCTTAGTTTAGTCCTTAAGTCTACTTTGTCACTAGCTTTAATTCTAATTTTTTTTACTTTGTTTTGAACATCACCATTGATGTATTTGATTTTCTACACTTCAATTTACTGCATTTCGCTTCAAATTCATCTTCCTAGCTTCCTTTAAGTTTAGATTTATGCTTCAACCTTTATTTCATTCTTTACACTTACATGTTTTCATGACGGCATCACGCTTCCTTTTGGTAATTTAATTTTCTGACCATGTACTCTCTTTCTTCTCTTTTACATTATTTTTCTCTTTTATTTTGATTAGCAAACTAACATTTTGGTTTTAGTTGTGGGAAGTCTCTAATGTTCTTTCAGGGCAATTATTTATAAATTTTTATGTAGGAATGCACCCCATTTCTATGACAATTATTTGATTTGGACGCATCTTATAATTTATTTAACCAATGCTTTTCCATCAACTTGTAGTCAAATTCCATGCTTGAAAATACTGAGAGTGGAATCCTTTTTTTTTTTTTTAATTTTGAACAAAGTGAGTGGGATATCTTTACAATCCTATCTATCATATGGTTGGAAAGAGAGATTTTAGAGACAACAACACCATTTTTAACTATTGATTAAGTAGTGAATCTTTAATATCAAGGATCACAACCTACTATTAATAATTATAAGAAGTGCAATTCGCATAAGGCAGACTACGCTTTAGTTTTTTATATTAAAACACACAAAATATTGATTAAAATAAAATTTTAAGGTAAATTACACTTCACCGGCTATATCAAAAATCACCTCGTAATGTATGATGATGGACAGTAATGCATGTTAATTAGATGTGCCACATA